CCAGCAACACCGCGAGGTTCGGATGCCGAATCGCCTGCCGCACGATGGGTGGTGCGTGAGGTTGAGGTTGGATCCGGAGAACACATGAGATAATGGAAGTATCCAGTCTCCAAATTAAAACAAGCAAAGAGGAAAGTTAATGTTACTTTCAGTCAACAAGGAATGAAGTGTTTTTTTTCTTTCTGGTTCTTTTTCCCTAATTCTTCTTCAATGCGTGTTTGATTTTGCGCCGTGTCTGTCGATATATATGCACATATATTTCACACATGTCTGTTTGCAGACTGTATACCAAACAAATCAGAATACAATACATGTATAGTGAGTACTATCAGGTTGTTCAGGCCAGGGCAGATGGATCTTCTTGTGGAGTTCACAACCGGAACCTTCGGCTAGTCCAAATCTGGCCCACAGATCAGCGCTGCGGTGTGTGGAATCCGCAATCCATTTAGGTCATTGTCCCGTTCTTCGGATCAAATACCTTTTGGAGGAGATCAAACGTCCAAGGTGTCGAGCAGACCTCGATGCCCCCTCGAGCCAGTGACCACGACCGGGGAGGTCTGTGTGATTCGTCCGTCTCCTTTTGGTTTGTTTGGTATCAGGGTTTTTAGCCGACTCCCCCAGGTGAACTGTCAGTGGTTCAACAACTCGGTTATAGCCCGAGATATTGGCTTTCCGTCCACTGAGTTTTATGGGAAAACACTTCCATCACGAGAACCCAATGAATAGAACATCCTCAGCAAGGCTTTTTGAAAAGCTTGGTCGTACAGGAGCATTTTGCGAGGGGAATGATAACCAGGTCCAACCCCGACAATCTGTAAAGATTGGTGTTAAATATCACCGGGTTCAATGTTTGTACCACTTGTGTAGCTAACTGTTTTCCAACCGTGTACTGATAACAATTCACCGCGCACCGTCGAAGTTCCCTGGGCGCCAGGCCATCGTCTCTCATGCTCGCTGGGTTAGCGTCACGCCCCCTGGTGCAGCTGATGCATCCGACCGATCGATGAATGAACCCCATCGATCGACTGTATGTTCTGGCGAGGGGTGAAGTATAGCGGTATGAGTAAACGAGTTAAGGACAAATTTGTTACGGACAATCCTTGAGGGTGAATATAACGCAAAGGCAACTCCATATGATACTCACAGGCTAAAATAGGCACTTATTCTTAAGTTCTGAGCTAATTTCTAATGCGCATTTTTGTGTACTGAATGGCGCACAGTTTGGACCCCATAGTCCCGATGACCTACTGTTCGGTGATAAAAACCACCGGTAGTGAACCGTTAGGTTAGGCGTGGTGTTGAAATGGACGACATCGAAGCTTCCTGCATACCAAAGTTGGGTGGCGGTGACGGTATTCGAACCTCACACCATAGGGTGTAAAGCACGCCGATGATGGTCACTAAACCACTGCATCACAACTGCAACTCCTTCACAACCGGATGCTTACCAGATAGATAATATAGAAGGTGTCACCCTATGCTGAACTATTTATTCGGGCTTGTAACGGATAATTTACGGAATGTGACCATCACCGAAAAACTCGTTTATTCACCACTCTATCTTGTTTGGAAATGAACAGAGTCAGACAAAATACGTCTCGTTATGCACCGACACGACCCTCCCAAAAGCGAAGCCAGTTACCCGAGCGAACCGGACCTCATAGTTTCGGTGTCTTATTAAACGATGCCGAGGGTGTGCCCTTTTGTACGAGAATACACGACTCTCGAGGAACACCTATACAAC